CACTGCAGAGGGGCTGTCCTGGCTGCTCCAAATTGTGACACTGTCTAAGGTGTAGTCTCCTTTCTGAGGAGCCCTGGTGTCGAAGTGGTCACCCACGGGGCTGCCGGCTCCAAGGTCAGCTGTTGAAACCCACAAGGCAGGGTGTCCGCCCCTGTCAAGAGCTCCATCTGGAACCCCAGGGGCAGTTCTCTCCCGTCCTGCTGTAAGGTCATTGTGAGTCAGAATTGGTGGCCGTGAGTTTGGTTTTTGGTCACTTTTTTAAAAGAGAAAGCCACTCATGTTCTGACACAGGACATCACATGGCCCAAACCACACTGCCCAGTGTCGGTTCCTGGGTGTGGCCCTTCCACACCGCCTCTGGGCTTGGCCGGGGGTGGGGTGGGACAGCCGACACCTTGTGAAAGCCAAGTGTGGCCAGGGGGTGGGGCATCTCCTTTCCCCACACTGAAGGGGCCAAGAAGCCTGTGTCCTTGTGCACCCCCTGGGTGCAGCACAGTGGGGGGTCCTGGGTGACTGTAGCTGAGTTGTGCTGCTGGGGGCAGCATGGTTTGTGTGGAGAGAGAGGTGGGCGGGTACCAGCCAGTAGGCCAGGTCTTAATTTCTGCGACTTTTTGTCCTGAGGTCATGGGGGGGTCTCCAAGGCGGGGTGACCTGCGAGGGGATGCCCGCCTGTCAGGGGGGCCCTGGCAAGAAAGGATGAGGCTGACCCAGGGCCAGCCGCAGGGCAGGGAGAGGAGTCATCGGTGTGAAGCAGACCCTTGGGGAAGGAGCTCAGGGTTTGGCAGGTGGGGAGGACAGACAGGACCCGCAGTGCTTGGGACCGTGGCCAGTGTGCCTGAGAGCCGGCATGTAGATCTGGGTGGAGCTGATCCCAGCATAAGGCGGGGGTAGCGCCGTGTCCCCTCCCCCCATTGGATGCCAGCCTGGTTTGTTTGTTTTTTTGCCAGCCTGTTTTCAAGTGACCTTGACTTCACTTCCCATTTCGAAGGGGTACTGCCCCTTCTTAGTATCCTTCTGGTCTGCCAAGTCTGCACGTCACCCAGAACCACATCTGAGCTGGGAGTCCTGAAGCGGCACTCCCCCGTCCCCCACCCCACCCCCCTTAATGGCGCCACCTCGAACACAGACCTCCAGAGTCTGGACTGAGCCACTCAGCGCCCTTGGGACCTTTCCCCCAGAAACACCTGACCTGGTTCCTGAGAAACACAATTTCAAGGGACTTGTCAGTTCCCGAGACCCGCGTTCAGGTCCAGGTGAGGAGCCTGCACACCTGAGGTGGGTGGAGAGGGACACGGGGCTTGAGAACCCCACTGCTCCCAGGTCCCAGAGCCGGCTCTTCTACCTCTAATATGACCCCAAGTAACCCACAGCCCAGCCTCTCGCTGCCTGAGACCCCGCTCACCCCAGAGAGGACAACAGGCTGGGCTTGCTCTGGGATGACTCCCCACGACGTCCTCGCCTTCTGAACGGCCCACAGATACCTTTACTTCCACATGTATTTGTACAGAAACAGACGTGGGGAGGCCCAGCTCCCAGGCTCAGAAGCTAAAGGGTGTCCAGGTGACCTCTCAGGCGGGTCCCCAGCCCAGGAGGGTGCCAGAGGGGTGTCCCAACAAGTCAGAGCTAGGGGCTGCCCCAGGGCCCCCACATCATCTGGGAGGATGGGCGGTGGGGCCCAGAGAACCTGCTCTCTGGCAGGGCGCGGCGAGGGAAATGGCCACAGAACAGGTCTCCTACACGTAGGCGTTTTTCCCGTATTGACCAAAGCTGCTGTCACATTCATCATCCGAGTCCTTGGGGGGCAGGGGCGCAGTGAGGCTCTTGGACCGCAGTACGGGCTGGGAGGCAGCCTTGTAGGGCAGCCGCGGGCTGTCCGGGAGAAGGGCTCTGTCAGAGGAGGCTAGGGCTCTCCCAGGATCCCCCAGCCACCTGCCCATCCCCGCACTCCCGAACCTGATGGCAGGCTCGTCCTCCGGAGGGCAGCAACAGTTGGTGAAGAGGCAGGTGCCGCCCAGGATGGAAAGCAGGGAAGCACTCCAGCCCAGGTAGAGGGCAGGGCCCAGCTCGTACCTGGGGAGGGGGAAGGGCGGTGTAGGTAGTAGAGACTCAGGGGCTAGGGGACAGTCCCACCCACTGTCTTGACAGGTGAGGGCCCCCACACTCACTTGGTCCCACGATACAAAGAATCGAAAAACTCTCGGGTGATGTTGGAGGCATACCAGGAGATGGCCACCATGCCGCAGAAACCTGGGGAAGCAAGAGAGGGCACTAGCACCCCTCGCTGTGGGCAGGTGGGTGGGCAGGCCAAGGCCCAGAGGAGGAGGGGGGCACCAAGCTCATGAGCAGCAGTTTCACTCCCTCTCCCCAGCTCCTAAACCTTCCCGTTCCCTAAGGTCACCCTGAAACACAGTCCTGCCCTCCAAATTCCACTTCCCTCCTCCATGGCTGCACCCACAGCTTACCCCCTCCTCGGCCCTAGACAGCCCTGCCGTCAAAACCATAATCAAACTCGTTGCCGTCAAGCCAGTTCCCACTGAGACTAACTCTTTATAGTGGAGAGCCCCATCTTTCTTTCTCCCGCAGAGCAGCTGGTGGTTTTGAACTGCTGATGCGGTTAGCAGTCCGACATGTAATCACTAGGCCATCTGACCTGCCTCTAAAATCAGGCTCACTGCCATCGAGCTCACACCCACTCAGTGTGTGACCGAGGAGGACAGGGTAGAACTGCCTCTGTGGGGCTCCCAGACTCTTAACTCTATGGAAGTAGAAAGCCTTGTCTTTCCCGGAGGGACAAGCCTTACTCACCCTTCAACTGGGAAGTTTCGATCACAGTAGCCCCTTCCAATTCCTCCCCATCCTTGAAAGCACGGAGCGCCTGGTGGTGGCTGACCCCTGGGTGGCAGGCCTGGCCTTGGTGCTCAGCGAGTGGGGGAGGGGTCCTACAGAACACGGCCATACCACCAGGCTGCCAGGCTGACTGTGAGATGGTGTGTATCGAAAAGCTTGGCAAACCAAACCATGGTGGCCAGCCCTCGGGTGGTGTTGCTGTGCATGTGTGTGCGTGCATGCACCTGTCTTATTGGGATGACCCCCTTCCCCCCGCAAAGGAGGTTCTGCGGGACCGGGTCTGACCCTCTTCTTTGAACTCTCACCCATGCACCCTGGCCCCTGTGGACTCGTACTGGCAGCTGATGGATGAGCTTGTAGCCCAGGGACTTGGTGAAGGAGGGGTCGGCAGGGAGTGGCAAGGGGGGGAGGGGGGAGCTCTCAGGTCTGCGGCAGGCATTACCACTCAGTAGGTGCAGGGCTCCTGCGATGGCCGCCATCCTGGCTTTCTGGGAGAGCCCCATGCTCCCGAGGTTGGTGCAGCGCAGCCCTATGATGCCCAGGAAGAGGCCCAGGAAGCCCAGGAGGAGGGCCGTGATCATGAGCGCCCGGCAGGCCTGGATATACCCTGGGGAGGGGCAGAGGCACAACTGTCAGCCACTCACCCACACCCCCATCTGCTCCAGAGCCAGCCCCCTCTCCCCCTGCCCCAACTCGCCCAAGTCTTGCCCTTCTTTTCTGGTCAGGTCCCCCTGCCCCGCCCCAGCCGCTCAAGTTCCGAGCAGTGGCACCTGCTCCCGGAAACCCACGTGGCACTTGCCTCGCCCCCAGCCCGGTGCCCTTTGCTTAGACCTTCATTAACAGAGGGCTCGGCTTTAGCCCTGGCTGGGGTGGGGGTAGAGGTGGGGGGCACTGCCCAGCTCAGTGTGGAAGGTTCAGCAGCATCTCTGGCCTCTGCCCACGAGATGCCAGGAGCAACCACCCCACCCAGCGGCGACCACTGAGCGCGTTTCCAGACATTGGCGAATGTCCCCTGGGACCACACTTCCCTGTGGAACCATGTGGACACTTTCTGTGTGCCTGATAGAAACTGCACCCTGCTTCCTGCGGGCACCTGGTTCCCATTCGGGCTCCTTCTAATAAGAGTCACCAGGAGGGGGCAGTGGTGGCCTACCCCAGAGGGGTGGGGTTCCTGGCCCAGGGCCAGCCAATCCAGGTCAGACTGGTCCAGTTCTCTCAGGACCTCAGTTTCCCCTTTCATAAAGCTGAAAGGAGCCTTTGGCTCCTTTTTGGCCCCCTCCCCCATCTCCTGCCCTTCATAGCTGCCAACAACTCCCAAGGACCTTGCCCCCCTTTCCTGGGGCGGGCGGGCGGGGCAGTGCCATCAGGGAGCCAAGGGGGAAAGGCCAAGAGATGTGAAGGCTTGAGGAGTGGGTGGGAGGGAGGAAGGAGGGCCAAAGTTCTCCAGCAGCGCCTTCTCACTCCTCACTCCCTCTGGGGCTCCCGCCTCCTCCCACCCAGTCCCGTAGCCGCCTACACCAGGGGCAGAGACCAAGTCTGGCTTCCCAGGCTGCTCCGGCTGGACTGGGAGTGGCCAGTGGGAGATGATGAAATGACACCCACAGCTGGAGCCCGAATCCAGGTCCCTGTCTCCTACCTCTAGGCCTCTCGGGAAAGGGTGCATGGCCTAGCAGGGGCTCTCCAACTGCCCCCAAAGAGCAGCAGGGCGGCTGCAGGTGCTCAATGTGCTCACGGAACGTGGGCGTAACTAGCGTGACCCCGGAGCCTAGGTGACGCCAAGGATGGGCAGTTGTGTCCTCTGCACATCCCCTCCAGTGGGCCCTGAACCTGCACCTCATCCCAGTGCACCAGGCCCTCCCTCGGGCCGAGGGCAGGACTTCCATTCCGGGCTTCTTTTGGGTGGATGGACTCTCAGCAAAGTCTCCTCCTCACACTGGAGGTGCCCAACGCCTGAGCGCATGCTGGGGTTGGGGCTGGGGAGGTGGGCATGCTGAGGCTGCTCATCTGGCTGCCACCAGTGTCCCTTGGGGCCATTCAACACTTGGGGCTTCCGGCCTAGGTCCTACTCAAACTTTCATATAAATGAATAAGTAAATAACACACACACACACACACATACACACACACACACACACACACGCACACACACACGGAGAGTCTAAAAATTCGTGGGAAAAGCCCATTTTCATTCCATTTTCCCACGAACTTGCTGAAGCCTCTGCACATGAGAGTATAAGGTTTGGGGGGGGGGGCGGTGGAACTTGCAGGATATTTGGTATGGAAGAAATGGGAAAAGTACAAGCCCCTGCTTTGTGGGACACCCGACAGTGGCAGCAGCTGCCTCCCTAGATTCGAGCCTTAGCAGGGGCATGAGACACATCAAGGACCCCTAAACCTCTGGGAGAGAATTTGGGGGATCTGCTTCATACCCAGTGTTAACCTCGGTCCCCTTCTCCCACCAGCCAGCCACAGGATGATGCCAGGAGAGCAAGCGGGCCCCAGGAGGACCTGGCGGGAGGGGCCGGGGAGTGGGCACACACAGGACCACCTCCTCTTGGTCTCTAGTACAGAGGCTGCACTCCCCTAGGGAAGTGACAGGGGGCCAGCAGGAAGTAGTGGATGAGGGCCCCCGAGAGACCGGGCAGCTGAGAGACCAGGTCTGGTCCTGAGCTGTAGGCTCTAGTCCTCCCAGTGCCTTAAAAAACCCACTGACCCAAGAACCCCAAACCTAACAAACACACACACACACCCACACACACCCTATCTCTGCCCAGGCTCTCAGAGCCCCCAAGTCTGGCCAAGAGCAGTGCCCATCTTCCCCAGTGCACTCTCCTTCCAACCTCCCTGCCCCCCTCTGCTCCCCAAGCCGAGCCTCCAAGCCTCCAACCCAGTACCAGAGAGGGCCAGCATGGACGGGAACTCCCAGCAGTTGTAGACTCCCAAGGAGTCCGTAGCACAGCTGTGCCAGAGGTTCTCGAAGATGGTGTTGGTGGTGATGACGCTCCCGTGCACGGTGGACACCCGCCAGGAGCTGTGTGGCAGGGTCACCCCCAGCAGCAGCAGCCCCAGCGCTGCCAGGAAGAAGCCAAAAATCTCTACAGCCACCGACATGGTGGGAGGCAGGGTCCTGGGGGGTGCCTGGACCTAGGCCCCAGGGAAGGGGCGGGGCAGAACCCCCAGGGGGGGATTGGAAGGGGCTTTGGCTGAGGCAGGCTGGGGAGGACCAGGGCCAGTCCAGCTGCAGGCTCAGCCTCACCTCCCCAGATCGGATCCCTGCTGCCTGGAAGATCCAAGAGGGAGCTGAGCCCCGCACCCAGGAGCTGCAGCTGTTGACTGGGCGATGGAGGGAATAAATGCATCGGCCAAAAGTCCACTCCCTCCCCCCTGCTTCTGGGCCGCCCCACAAGGGTGGGGAAGATGACTTACCGGGGAGTGACTTAACGGATATACGCAGCATGAAAGGGCCCCCCCGGAGGCATTTCAAAGCAAGAGGAAGCACATGTCTCCGATGGAACTTCCATCACGGGCCCCAAGAGCGGAGTAAGAGGGACGCTGAGGAACGCTAACTGCAGACACAGACAACACAGGCGGGCCCACTTCATGCTCTCTGCCCGCAATCCCACTGCAGCCTTTGTGGAGAGGGAGGGAGCCCAGTGTCCCCTCCAGATGGCCAGCCAAGGAATACAAAGCCCTCACTCTCACTCGGGGTGGGAGCACCTGCAGCTGCCAGGAGAGCAGGGTGGAAGCAGGGATGGAGTGGGAGAAACCGACCAGCCCGGGTTTGGATGAGACTCCCTCATCGGCCAACATATCGGCCAGCAACGTGGGCACACATCCTTAGCTCCACTGCGCTGCCCTCTGCTTCTGTAAACTAGAGAGGACAGCACTTAGTTCATGGGTTGTCCCAAGAAGCATGACCACAGATCAAAGCTCTCAGCACGTCTGACCGGCTGGACCACTGGGAACCTGGATCTGGGGGCCATGGGAGGCTACTTGAGCTCTAATCTCCCCCCACAGGTTGATCTGATTCTCAGCAAGGAGCTTGACCCTGCTGCCGAGGGGCTGGCATGGAGATACAGCCCAGGCCCAGAGCCGGCTCAGGGGCTAATCGCCCTAACAAGCTCAGTTATCAAGAGCTGTCACCAGCTCCATTAACTGTGATGGATTAGAAACCTCTGAACACCTGTCCGAATCTGACTGGCCTCATTTCCTGCCAAGGAGAAGCCCAAGCCCAGAGCCCCGGCCACCCCTACCCTCTGGCAAGTAGGGACTAGGCTGTGTCTGAGGAGGCCTGTTCGGTGTCACTGAGCTGGCGGGAGCACTTGCTGCGAGTGGGACTCCCTCTCCCCTTCGCTGTGGCAGGCTACTTCAGTGCTCCTGTTTCTTAGGTACCTCCCTCGCCAATCCCCTGCCCCTACCCCATGACCTGGGTTGGTCCTGGTTGTGGAATGAGCAGTATGCAAGGGTAACTAGACAGGCCCACTTGGAGCCTGGCACGAGAAGGTGCCGGCAGAGCACACTGGGTGGGACTGGCCCCAGCCTTCCCCCTCTCTGGGGTAGTTCGCGAACCTTCAACCTCTGGAGCTGCCAGCACCCTCCCCTCAAGAGGTCGGGGTAAGAGGAGGGCAGAGGCGGAAGTTCAGGGGGAGGGTCTGGAGGAAGCCAAGTGGGGGGTCCAGCCCCCTGTGGAAAACTCCACTGGCCGGAGGCAGCTGAGTGGGTCAGGGGAGACAGGATGCAGAGAGGGCAGTGGCCCCTCCACTGTGCCTGGCCGGCTGCCAGCTACCTCCTGCTCCCAGGATTCTCAGACTGTGCAAAGGCCGCCTCCCACACTGCCGACCACTGTTCCAGGCTCAGGCTGGGGGGGAAGGTGGAGGAAGGGTGTGGGGTCTGCATCGTTGGGTAGACAAAGGAGAACCCTACACCAGGCCTGGAGGGTGGAAAAACACAGAGCCCCTCCACGTGATGCGCTATGGTCCCCTCCCCAGATGTAGACACAGCCGTTCCCAAGCCAAAGACCAATTTTATTTACACACATCCCAAAGCACATGATCTGGGGCCAGGAGACAGGTCTGAGGGGCGAGGAGGCTGAAGACCACAGTAGACCAAGGAGAGCAGAGAAGGGACAGGAGGGGGCTGGCTTTGAGCGTCCTTCTTGCTGAGCCGGCCCCTCGGTAGGCTGCTTCAACTCCCGTGAGTGCAGGCCAGGTGGCGTGCCCTGCGCAGAAGCGGTTCCGGTGTGCTCAGGATTTGGACTTGGATACAGCCAGTCCGATGAGGCCAGCTAGTCCTGCCACACCCAAGGCCATGCCGCCAACGATGGCCATGCCCACCAGTCCATCTGGGGGACACAAAAGGGAGACAATGTTAAGAGCCCAGACTCAGCCTCAGGGACTCTGGTGACAGGCTTCTTCCTGGCAGGAGATGGTCCTTGAGACCCCGCGTCATGTGGTGAGGGCCTCTGTGGATGGGAGAGGCGCCTGGTGAGGGGTGGAGATCTGGAGGAGGATCTGCGTGGTGGTGTTGGTGCTGGTGATTTAAACAGAGGCCAGAAGGACTGGGCCAGGAAGGGAGGGGTGGTCTGCACAGTGTGTTCTGGTGGACCAAGGAGTCGGGGTGTGGAAGAGAGGAGAGGGCAGAGAGGAAGCCTTCACCTTTCTTCATGGCCTTGTCAATGAGCTGCTCCAGTTCCTTGGCCTGGTTGTTCTGGGGCTCCGTCTGCAGCAGCCCACGCACATACCTTAGGGCCTTTTCATATTCCTGCACCCAGGGAAAACATACACACACACACACACCCCTCAGCATGCGCTTGGCTCGCTCCTCCTGCCCCCTGGAGGGGCCTTCCCCTCCTCTCACCCTAGGGGCTCCTCCCTCTCCCGCCCTTACTCCAGCCCCACCCAATGGAGTAGAGTCCACCAACTGCCCCAACTGTGTGGGGGTGATAAGCTGGGGGAGATAACAGCCCAAGGCTTGGGCTGCACCCCAATCCTGACGTCACTTTTCCCCACACCCTCAGCACCCGGATCTTCTCTCTCACTTCCCTCAGAGTTCTGATCTGATAGCATCCTGTACCTCTGTACCTGATACCACCCCCAGCTTATCCAGTCTTCCTGGTGTCCATGGGCTCTACTCCGGAGAGGACTCAGAGGGTACCATAGTGCCCACAGGGGAGCCCTGATGGCGTAGTGGGCTGCATGGAGGGCTATAAACCGCAAGGCCAGCAGTTCAAAGGCACTAGTGACCCCTTGGGGCTGGGGTGGGGAAGAGGTGGCTTCCTACTCAAGGAAAGTTAGTCTTGGGGTCCTCAGGGGCAGTTCTACTCTGCCCTCTGGGATCGCAGGAGTTGGCATCGACTCAACGGCAGAGTGTGGTGTTTGGTGGCTCCCACAAGTAGGGTGGCTGGGAAGGAGGGGCCTTTTCTACGTCACCTTCAGGGCTTTGAACTCACTCAGTCAGGGCTGATGCTGCAAATCAGAACAGACTGAAATTGGTGAACTGTGGGTGCGCCAGGATGACCTGTATGGAAGAAGACTCGGGGTCTGGAGGCATGCGATGGGAGCCTGCAAGAGGCAGGTGAGCCCTTCAGGAGCCTGCGCGGGAGGGTGGGGAGTGACACACTTGCCCAGAGGTGCAGTTGGCTGCCACGTTTGAGAGGCTCCCGTTTCTGACTCTGCGGGTCAGGTGATTTGGTTTCTAGCTATGTGCACACTTCCCTTGTTCTCTAGGAGGGAGATCACATTTCTAGCAGGGTGCTGTGCACCCACATCTGACAAAATCAAGTCTATTCTCATTGCTTTCTGTCGTCCTGGCTGATCTGAACAAAACTAGTTGGAAGCCCTGTTTACCTTGAGCCGGTAGTTCCCCACAGCCAGGTAGAAGACGTAATCCCGCTGCTCCTCCTTGCTTCCTTTGGGCAGCAGCTCTGAGGTGGAGGAAGAGGAAGACGGTGGAAGTGGCTTCTTTTTCCTAGTACTTCTGTCCCAGAGATCTATACCACCCGCTGGCTTCCTGGGCAGCCCTGAGAAAGTCCGTGTCCGAGCGTCCATTTCAGCTCCTATCACTCTTAGCTTCCCAGTGAGTCCCAGGGCAGCATGAGCTGAGGGCGCCCCAACACCGCTGGTGACAAACACCCCCAGAATCAACACCACATCTTGTTCATCCACGTGGACTTAAAGGAAATCGAGGCACCAGAGATGTCAAAAGGACTTCAAAACTGTGTTTTAACTAAGGAGCCCTGGTGGCATAGTGGTTACATGTTGGGCTGCTGACCATAAGGCCAGCAGTTTGAAAATACCAGCTGCTCCCAGGGAGGACGGGGCTTTCTACTCCACAGGGGCAGTTCTACTCTGCCCTATAAGGATGCCATGTATGGAATCTACCCGATGGCAAAGAATCTGGTTTTGGTTCGGTGTTTTAGTTAAGGAGCCCTGGTGGCATCATGCTTCTGTGCTGGGCTGCATTCTGCAAGGCCGGCAACTCGAGACCACCAGCCGCGAGGAGGGAGAAAAATGAGGCTTTCTACTCCCGTAGAGAGTTAGTCTTGGGAACCCACGCGGGCTGTTCTAGCCTGTCCTACAGGGTCGTTATGAGTTGGAATCAATTGATGGGAGCGAGTTTGGGTTTTAGTTTGGTGGTTTAGCTGTAGCCATTTGCTGTCCAAAGCAGTGTTAAAAATTAATGTGCCCAACCCCCTTTTAAAAAGTGTAGCTTACTATTGTTAAGAACACACTGCAGCACACGCACCAATTTCTATAGGCGCATGTCAGGGGCGCTGGTTCCTCCCCGGAACGCACCGCCCTCTGTGTCTCCTTCCTAACCTGCTGTCAGGTTGGTCCCAGACAGCGCTTGACAGAGCAAAAGGCTCGTGACCCTCTGTACTAGTTAAGCTAAGCTGTCGTGCTGTCTTAAGAAGACTTTGGGGCTGTTTTGGTTTAAAGACAGTCTCAGGGCAACCATTTCCAGGATTCATCCTCAAAACTCACCTCCCGTGAGCCTTCTCTGACTGACCCCGTGTGGCTCATGTGCGTGCTTAAGCTTATATATTCAGCTGTATTCCACATAAAACTTCCACTGGCCCGTCCTGTCTCCTCACCTAGACTAGGAAATGTCTCCTACGCTGTTTTGGCAGCTGTGCCCTGCTGAGGCAAACCTGAAAAGTCTGAGTTGACAAGATAGAGAGATGAGTGTCGGGTGAAATGATGGCCATGGAAGAGGAGTCTCATTTTCAGAGATGTACCTTCGTTGTCCTTGGATGGTACACCAATTGGTTGGCTTACTAGGATTATTAGGGAAGGAGGGCTAGAGAGAAACTAAAAGTCAAGTACGATGCCCTCTGAAAAATGGTAGCCCGCCTGAAATCAATGGGAAATAGAATAACTGTCAAAAAAGCACCAGGTGCCCACCCCAACCCTATTTTTAAAAATCGGATGGTTGCCTGGGCCTCTTCAATGAAACCCCCACAAATGGGTTCTCCATGACAGCCACTGAGCGAGCCGCACAGCTGAGGGCAAAGAGCAGAGGGTAGGCCTCATCACCCAGGGGCTTCAAGTCCCCATTCAGCCATGAGTGAATGAGCCCTGAGACCTGAGACAGCCGCTCTCTTGAGACTAGTTCAATTACCACTGTGGTTTGAGGACCGGATCACGTAAGCCTTGTGACTGCTTGGCAAAACAAGGATGGGTGTGGGGAGCAGTTTGGCTCCGTAACTACTGGAAAATAACTGCAAAAAGCCATGCCAGAGGGTTCCGTGCCACAAGAGGTCCCCGGCATGTGAGACAACAGGGGGCGGGGGCATGGCGTGAGGTCAGTGGCCATAGGGACGGGGAGGACGGGGCACTGCTGGGCAGGTGCGAAGTATTGAGCAGCCTTGCACCTTACCCTCGAGCAGCTCAATGCCTTTCCGGATGTCATCGTTATACTTGCTTCGAACCAGGCACCAGGCGTACTCGAACTGGGTGCCCTTGGACACTGACCCTGCTGCCGCCTCAGATCGAAATTTCTTTTCAAATTTCTGCCAGGGGGAGAAGAGAGGAATCACTCAGAAATGAAGGAATGCCCGCTCTCCACCTGGACCCGGGTGTCCATGTGCCAGCCATCCTTGCCCTGGGGAGCCCTGGCCGTGGGCGCCGGGTTCTGACACTCGCATAGTCCATGGGCAGGTCAGGGTGTCTCTTGGGACACCTCACCCCATGGTACCAGTGTCCCGGCCCCCTAGTGGCGGCTCCAGGCGCCGTCGCTGCCCGGGGCAGCTGACCCAGCGGGGAGTGAACAATGGACAGGCTGTGAGAGGCGGCGGCTCACCGACAGCCCTGGCCTGGCAGCTTTCCTTAGCCTGGCTTACCCAGCCAGAAGTGGGGATTCTCGTGTCTGCAAAATGGGAATAAAAATGGTGCCTATCGAGGAGGCTTCAAAAAGTTGGAGGAAAAGTGGTGGAATTTCCGGGCTAACTTTCGGATGTCCCTTTGTACTGGAGCACCGAAGATCGCAGCACGACTGTACGTCTGCGGCACACCTAACCCCGCAGCGGACTGAGTAGTAAGTGACATCGTACGGTGGTCGCCGTCTTCCTCTGCCACTGAAGGTGGACCCTGCCGGTCTTCCCAAGCCAGGCCCCTCGTCTCAGGGGGGTGGCTCAAGAAACCACAACTCCCACTAGCCTCTGGGGCAAAACGCAACCTTTGGGCCACACTCGGTGGCTGCACAGCCTACCGGAAGCTCTAGGTCGGCTGCCCCGGGCGAAACTGATGTCAGCAAGAGGTTTCGCCCCTAGCCTTCGTTCGGGACCCGCCTGTCAGAGTCGCCCCGTCCCTTCCTTCAGGGCCAGGCCTCACCCGCAGGTCGTCCACAGACACCAGATCGTTCAGGACGGCCTCCATGGCCGCCGCCCCGGCAAGTCCCGCACCAGACACTACGGCGCCACCGTCTCCATGGCCCACCGACAAGGGCGGAGAGCCTCTTCCGGTGCCTGGCGGATGTGGGCCCCTCCCCCGCGCAGAGCCAATCACCTCACGCCGACCAGGCGACGCCCCGCCCCTTCCTCCCAAGGCGGCGCCCCTGGCGGCGGGGGTGGGGAGGACAGCGGAAAGCCCACGCGAGTTCATTGCCCGGGGACTCCTAGCCCCGCAGGGAAGGTCCCAGAGAGCTTGCAGCGAGGTTTGCGTCCGCAGACCGCCACGTCTTCCTTCAGGAGCTACTGGGAGGGTTTGAAACACGGACCTTTCCTTTTGCGCCACCCCAAAACCCAAACCGCCAGCGGTTCGATTCAGACTCCACGGAACAGGGCAGAGCCGAATTGTTCCTGTGGGTTTCCGAGGCTGTCAGTCTTTAGGGGCGGAGACAGCCTCAACGTTCTCCTGTGGAATGGCTGTGGGGTTCGAACAGCTGACCTTGCAATGAGCTGACTAATACGTAATCCACAAAAGCCACCCCGGCCCCTATTCTGACTCCATACAGTATATAGGGTTCCCGAAACGAAATCTTTTATGAGAGCAGCCAGCCTCACCACTGTCCTTTGAGGTGGCCAGTGAGATTGAGCTGCTGACCCATGGGGCATCAAACCCATTTTTTTCAACAACAACAAAACACCATTTTTTTCAGAGTCGATTCTGACGCATAGCAACCCTGTAGGACAGAATAGAACAGCTCCATAGCGTCTCCAACTCCGTAAATCTTTGCAGAGGCAGACTGCCATATGGGTCTTTAGCGAGTGTCCAGGGGGATTCAAACTGCTGGTCTGAAACCTCACCTTACAGTGGCCTAACACCATCCGTTCCACCTAGAATACCTGCCCCTTCTCTGTTCATTCTTTGACCTAGGCATCAATTTAATTTATTTAACAAATAAACTTCCTGAGCACCTACTATATGCCAAGCACTATCTGAATGTTAACGATCAGAACTGGATAAAATAAAATTCTTGCTCTTACGAACCTTACACTTTAGTGAAGACATAAGAAATAGACAAGTAGATACTACCCAATGAATACCCAGTATCAGAAACACAAAAGAGGTGTGAGACAAAAACTGCAGGGAAAAGGAATTGAGAAAGAAGAGGTTCTCGTGTTCGAGGAGAAGCTCTTGAATCCCACAGGTAAGTGGGAAAGAGCAGGCGGATGGAGCAGTGGCTGCAAAAGTCTTGGGGAGGGAGTGTGCAAAGGTTTGCGAGCCGGCCTGGGGAAGCTGAGGGGCTCAGAGTGGAGTGAGCAAAGGAATGAGTGACAGGAAATGAGAGCTGAGAGGTAGGCAGGTGTAGACATTGAAGGGGGAATTTGAGTGGGTGGGCTTTCAGGCAGGGAGTGAAATGACCCACAGTGCATGTGGAAAGCATCCCCCTGGTGGCTGTGAAGGTGGTCAGGCTGAATTGTCAGAGAGAAAGCCGGAGCTGGTTGGGAGGCGGCAGTCTGGGCTGGTGGGCCTGGGCTCAGTGGTGGTGGAGGTGGAAGGCGTCCAGGTACGCATTGGCAGCATCTGCGGACGGACTGAATGTGTAAGAGACTAGGATGACATAAGGGTTTCAGTTCTGATGAACCAAGTGACACATTCCTGAGACCTCAGCTCAAAGGCTCTTCTTTTAGGAAGGCTTTTCCGGGCACCCCGGACCACCCGAGGTTCCCTGTGGAGCGGGAAAAGGAGCCCTGGAGGCATAGTGGGTTATATGTTGGGCTGCTAATTGCTAGGTCATCAGTTCAAAACCACTAGCTGCTCAGGGAGGAAGACGAGGCTTTCTACTCCCATAAAGATAGACTGTCTGGGAAACCCCCATGGGCAGTTCTCCTCTGTCCTGTAGGGTCACTTAGAGCTGGAATCGACTGGATGGCAGTGAGTGAGTCGAGGGGGGGAGCATGGCCAGTTCTGTTTTCAGAATATAAACTGTAATCTGCACATTCCTTTCTTGTCCGCAACACAGCTTGTGCTGTGTTTCTTCTGAGCCACACAAAGCCTGCTTCCCCCCACACAAAGGAATGCTCACATCGGACACCCATGTAGACTTTGGAGTTAAATCTGCAGGAGAGATGCCATTCTGCTCTAGCCTGAGCCGCACACTGCCTGTTTGGGTGTGTACACCCCTGGCCCCAACCTCATAAGCCTGTTATAGCAACCACCGAGGAGCATGCGATGACTCATACTAATCACAACAAATGGGTAATGGGACACTCATCAAGACATTGCTTAAAAAAAACTATTACAAAACACAAAACTTAATATCTGGAAGTCTTTAATGGTTTTAATGCCTATAAAGATACACTAGAGTCTGTATACTAAGACAGACATTTGACTGATGTTAGACATGAACAAATTTGATTCAATGACAGATTTAGGAACAGGACGCATTTATAAATCCAGGGACTCACGCAACGTCCAACTCTATAATGCCCATTCACAGAACACGATCACGGCATCATGCCACACTTAACTGTGGTTTCTAAGGCCCACTCTTCTCCACACAAGACTGCTCACAGATGATAGGTAGCCAGGAGTCACAACCAGGAAGATACATCAGTTCCATTTGGCCCATGAAGACACTGACTCTTGATCTAGTTCTCGAAGCTCATAGAACCAGAGTCAGAGGAGCTGGGATTCAAACAGGTTAGTGCTGCCTCTTCAACTGAGAGCCAAGAGCCCTGGCGGGTTATGAATTGGGCGGCTAACCAAAAGTCCAGCAGTTCGAAATCACCAGCTGCTCCCCAGGAGTAAGATGAGGCTTTCTAATCCCCTGAAGAGTCACAGCCTTGGAAACCCACAGGAGCAGTTCTCCCCTGCCCTAGAGGGTTGCTCAGTCAGAGGTGACTTGCTGGCAGGGGAGCTTCAGCTAAGGGGAGAGAGACAGTCAGGCACGCAGAGGAGAGGAGGGATCAGTCATGAGAGAAATAGGAGGAAGATTAGAACAAATCACAAGTAAACTAACTTTTTAAAAAGTTGTCATCACCTATGGCTTGCCTTAAGCCAACGGCTCCCAACCTGTGGGTCACAACCCCTGTGGGGGTCAAACGACTCTTTCCCAGGGGTCACCCGATTCATCACAGTAGCAAAATGACAGTGATGAAGTAGCAACGGGAATAATTTTATGGTTGTGGGTCACCGCAACATGAGGAACTGCATGAAAGGGTTGCGGCACGAGGAAGGTTGAGAACGGCTGCCTTAAGCAGTGGGGAAAGTAAGTAGGGCCAACTTAGGTTAATTAAAAATCAAAAACAGGAAAAGCAATCCTGACAAGCCATTCTGAGCTAGCTAAGGGATAAACTGAAAAACAACCCCAAGCCTCTCCACTTCTGCTAACGGACTGTGAAACTGACTTCAGCCTCGTGGCTAGCAACCTGCATTTTCATTGTATACTGTGTGTTCACTTGCAATTAATCATATACTTGTGTGATTATCAGTAACGGCCCCTCCTAGACTAGACTCCAGGCTGGAGGGGCGGGGCAGGGTCTGCATATGGCTTGCTCACATATCAGTGCCTAGAGCCAACAGACCAGCCACTTGTTATTATGATGGTTGCCCTTGTGATTTTTAACAGTTTTAACTAGGAGGCCATAACTGTACTTGAATAGTTACAGCTATAAGATGTCATATTATTTGGCTGGTTATCAACTCCTTAAGAAATCATTCAGTGGAATAATTCAGCACTCACCTCCCCAAAAAGGTGTGAAGTGATTAATTCATGCATTCTCCATGATATTAGACAAATAAAACACCGGGGGACAGCTCCATTAGATTATGTGCATCAATCAAATGGGATAGTAGGCTTAAATCCAGAGTCAGATGGATTCCCTGTAGGTGCAAAGTATTGAAGTGATAAAATCTGCTCCCCAAATTTGCTCATATGCGTGGACAGCAAGGAGAGTGACAGTTTTATTTGAAGTCTGGACACCTTGAACTATTTCTGAGCCATTCTGGGCTCAGGGCTCTTTTCCTGACACCCCCTCCCACCCTTGCTGGAGAGCCCTTCAGTACCTCCTCCTCGGTCAGCTCAGGAGACACCCACTCAACAAGAGTTCATTAGTAATGTTCATCCAATCTTCAGCCACCAACCTTTCCTCCTTTCGAGTTTCAGCTACTATCCAATCAAGAAGTCCAGGGAACTACAAAGGCTCGCTGGGGCCCTGCTGGCTAAGTGCTGGGCTGCACACCCAAAGGTCAAGGGGACGAACCTCCTAGGCCCTCTGCAGAGAACCATAGGCAGTGTGAAGAAGATTTAGATTCAGTCCCTGAGATCCAATCGGCTCTGTCCTCGAGGAGTAACTATGAATCAGAAGTGGCTCAGTTGCACTGGCTTGGGTTTCTAGTTTATTCCCTCACTGCCATCGGGTTGATGCGGACTCATTGCAACCCTGTAGGAGAGGGTGGAACCGCCCCTGCGAGTTCCTGAGACTGGAACTGTTTACAGGAGTAGAAAGTCACCTTTCTACCTCGGAGCAGCTTGTGATTTCAAACTGCTGACCTTAAAGAGCTCAGCGTACCACGTAACCACTGTGCCACCAGGGATCCTCAAGGGGTAGTGGTGGTAGAGGTGGAGGAGGTGGTGGTGGTGGTGATGTGTGTGATTTTGCATGTCAGCAGAAAATTTATTTATTCAAATGCTTTGTGCTCCACTGCTATAACCTAAAGGTTGACAGGCTAGCCGACAGGCGAGCCCGCCCTTAGAGGTACCTCGGATGAAAGCAAAGCTGGTGCTCCACTGGCGGTCCTGTCACGCGGGGGTCGCCAGGAGTCAGAGTCAACTATATGGCAACAGGTCTCTAAGGGTTCGGGTTCTGCACCAGACGCTCTTCCAACCTGAAAAGACCCCCAACTCACTGCTGTGGGGTCGATTCCGACTCACAGCGACCCTACAGGGCAGGGTCGAACTGCCCCTGTGGGTTTCCGAGACGAACTCTCTACAAAGCCTCGCCTTTCTCCCACAGAGCGGAGGATGGTTTCAAACTGCAGCCCGACGCGTGACCACGAGG